AGAGTGCGCGCGCGCGCGTGTGTGTCATTAAGTTTAATTGATAAAATTGTACCTTTGGCTAAGGGAGACAGAGTTAAGTAATGTACGATGACTCCGCCAGCACTTTCGCCAAAGATAGTCACGTTTTCCGAGTCTCCCCCAAATACTGATATATTTTTTTTGACCCATCGTAACGCCATGATCACATCTTTCAAAGCTTGATTACCTGTTGCCACTTTGTCATAAAGATTTAGGAAACCTGAAATTATTAATGTTAATTTTTTTGGAAAATTGATTTATCTAATTTAAAAATAGACGATTACATTCAAAATAATTCGCATTATAATTTGTTGGCAGTAAGTGAATTCTATGAACGGGGAAATATACGTCATTCTATATGCAAGAAGTATAAATTAAAAATAGATTTTAGATTTAGATAGTATCAAAAGATATGAAATTATATCTTTTTTTTTTTATATAAAGTTACGTTTGATTTGAAACGATTGATTTCGATAATACATTCTTCAAGAAATGTGAATGTATTTAATTAGCTGTTTAAAATAGAGAAAAGATTTCAATCTAAACGATAATTTTAATGACATATAGAATGTCGGACATGTATAATGAAGATATATCGAAATAGTTAACGTACCTAGGACGCCTAATCTGTAATTCAAAGTAACTAACACTACATCTTTTTGTACGATATAATCGGGACCATACAAAGTTGCATCACCGGAACCCAATGAAAAGGCACCGCCATGTATCCATACCATTACTGAGCGTTTCTTCGAAGGTTCGAGTTTCGTGGTGTACACATTTAAATAAAGACAATCTTCATCGCCCATAATTTCACCTGTAGAACTATTTAGTTGAACTGCAACATTTCCATGCACCGAAGCGTTTCTATCACCAGTCCATGGTTCCGCTGGTACTGGATCCTAATTGCATATAATTAATTCTTATCCATTAATTTTATACATTTATTCTTATGCATTAATTTTCGACACAAGATTTATTTTTAGCGAAATAAATACCTATAGTAATGTCTTCAAAGTTGTTTATACATATATTTATGTTATTTATAATTTATTTATATTACATGTTGAAAAATTAATTTATATTAGAAATCGATTGTTTTCTTTTTGTCTGAACTTTTTAAACATATTTTTATATTATTAATTTTAATATATTTTCTTAAACAAAATAATATTTTATATTGTCATGTTATTTTTACGTATAAAGAATAGAATAGAAGTTAATATATATTAATTTTACATATAGCAATTATTATATAATAATTACATAATAATCAATTGTTACGTATCATTACGTAATAACTAAAAATCTTATTGTCTTTAAAGCTTACTTTTTTATTAATATTATTTAATCGTAATTTTTTAGTTTTCTTATAATCATTTTTCGTATCTTTCTAATTTTTATTTTAAAGCGCAATTACATAAGACATGAATGAACTGTTTTTGGGCACCTTTTTTGTAAAAAAATTAATTTTTAATTTTGTCTTTTGTGATCACTTCTTGAAACAGAGATTAGAGAGAGATACGAAAAATTGTAATATAGAATTGAGAAAATTTTGATTAAGAGATACTGATAAAGATTATGATTGAAAAATAATGTGATACAATACTGCTTATCAATTATATTGCATACTTTATATATTTTGAATCTATACCTTGAATCTGAGTTCTCCAATTGGCGGTTTCGCATATGGTATTCCTCGAAAAGCGATATAAGAATTATTGTAGACATCTTTCTCCACAATGCCGATTAATTTTCCTTCGTACACAGATACCTTTACTTTGTTGTTTTCCATGATGGATGCGTTGAAAGAATGACGAGAGAAGTGCCTTGATAAGCTCGTCAGCTATATATGTTGAATATCAAAGTATCAAAGAAAGATTATATAATTGACGCCAAGGTAAACGAGATTTACTGGAGATTTATTGTCTGTTTTATTGATACATTGTATTGATTTATAGTTTATCATTATGTTATTCAATATGATACATAGTCAATGCATTGATAAACTGTCGTTATTTTTCGCATCATATTTCTTCATGAAAACTTCACTGTATGAAAATAAAAACGAGAGAAGCAAGAAAAACAGTGACGTAAAACTTTTAATTCTATCTGGTGTAGAAAACATTTATTTGTAACATTCAACAATTTGTAAGTTTTAAAAATTACATGTAACTTATATGATTAAATTACACATACATATATTGAAAATTATAATTGAATAAAGTGTAAATTGCGCAGATTATAATTAAAATTAATAAATATAAGATAAAC